CGGACAACATGAATAGTATTAATAAGTATAATTCATATTATTATTATTATTTTCAAGTATCAAGTGACAACTTGATTGTGTTTTGTGCTATTGTTGTGTCTAGAGCGCACATGTGTTATACCCTGGAGGACTGAATAGACGTAGACTGGTTCAGTCTGTTAACACTTATTATAATATAGAGAGGGCTTTTTCCATTAAAGCCGCCTATATTTATTTTAATATTACATTGTTTTGTTCCTGCCGTTGGGTGTTATCATTTTTGACGTTACTATAGTGTAGAAGGAACATGAAATAAGGCATTAACGATAGTTATACATGTATATGCCATATCATGCCCTTTAGCCTTTTTTAAGTAACCCATAGCGCGCGCCAATACGCTTCTACTGATTGTGTATATGTAAAGAGCTGTTTCCACACCTACTTTACCGTCAAAAAAAACAAAAGTCATATTTTTACGGACTCTTACTCTGTCAAAAGAGAAAACTGTTTGGTTGTGCGTGAGGGGGGGGGAGTACAAAAGCAACAGAGGAATGATATTTCATCGTAAAAACAAAATGACATGTGATTATATACTAGATGTCTATTAATTATCAGGATCGTGTCTTTGTGGCTATCACGCTAGTCCTATATCTAGTTCCTGCTAGAAAATTCCTTCACTTTATCGTATACTATAAGTAAGTGGAAGTGTGTCGGTGGCATAGCGGTTAGGAAGCTCGCCGACCATGCACATGGTCCGCGGTTCGATCCCCGGCTGACTCACTCCTTTGCCTCACTAAGCCAGTAGTAAGAATGGTAATGAGGGAAGGTTGGGCACGAGGCTAGCAACTCCATCCTGTGAAAATAAACACCACTGCTACAGAAACTTCAAGCAACTAGCTTGAAGCCCTATGGTTCCACTGGGAACGTGAAGGAATAAATAATAAGTAAGTGGATGCAACTTTAAGGTGTCCCAGGCAAATTATCAGGACTGCAAACTGTATGTGTAAACGTTTACTGTACTTAGTGGGACGATTCCTCTTTATGCTAACCCTAGAGTCCTAAACCTAACTTCTAACTGTAATCTAACCATTAACCTTAACCCTTAAGCGTTGAAAGGTTAAATAAGTCAGGGTAGCAAGAAAAACTCTTGAAGTAAAACTTACACTTCATTAATGATCAGTGACATGATTGTTTATTGAAGATTATTTTATAGCTGCTACAGTTTATCTTCACTATTTGATCCTTAACTTGATCACTGAGGAGGGTTAATTTTTTTATCCATAGTATGTATAAATGATAAGAAGTTTCATTTCTTATAACTGGTTTGGACCAATCTTCAATGCCTAGTTTGATAGAAATAATTTAGTCAGTAACCAGAATCAATGATTCTCTTTCATGGAATAAAATAACAGGCAAAAGAATTTCCTTTCTTTCCTAATGATTTTGTATAAGAACAATAGATTTATTGAAATTTATTTTGTAATAATAGTAATAATAATAATAATAACCGATACTCGGTTCTCAAAATGGTCTTTCTTATGGCCTTGTGGTTTATAACTCTTTGGCATTTGAAATGATGAGTTCTGAGTTCCGTTCTTGGTGGGAATATACCATCAATCATTGGGGATGCAGTCACTCCCAAATGATGACTTCCAAATAGGAGGAAATGCTCATCCTGGATTCCACTGTTAGTCACAGTCTGCCATATAAGTCACTAGATGTTTTAGAGGAATTCAGTTTTGTAACTACTCGTTAAGCCTTTCCTCGTTCCTGTCCCAACGACAACAACAAGAACAACTCCTTTCTTCTCTCTTCATTTCATGTGTTAAGCTCTGGTAATAATAAAAAAGGGATGAACAGACCTTCAAAGCGTGTAAATCTGTGTATACTACTGAAAACATTTCACCTTTCAGCTTGTTTCATCATAATTCTTAAATATTTTTAAAATTTTATTTCTATTTGGTAGTTTCTGTCGTATCGACTATTTAGTCAGTTTATTATCGTCCTCTTTCCATAGTGCTACTTTACCTCAGACAGGATTAGCTTTGAAGGAAGCTAAGGTTGGTTAACAACTGAGTATGCTGACGAATCATAAAACCTCTCTAAGTTCTGATTGAATTTTATTTAGGACGAAGTGTTGATTGTGAAGTCTTCAAAATGTTAGCAGCAGGTGATTAGAAATTAGTGTTGTATAAGTTAAAGTGAATTATAGTTATGCTGAGCATGTGTCTGATACAGTTCATTATCCTTTTCCTCCTTTTACCTGTCGTTTTTGATATGTAATAAGCAATAAGGTTTAACAATTCAAATAGTAACCACATTAAGTTATTAATTCAAATGTTTAATACTTTGAATGCAATCTAAACTTAAGAGTGTCTGTTGTATATTTCTCGAGCTATAGGTGTGCTACATTGACTGAAAGTAATGTAAATTAACCTGTAGTGTACACTAATTTCCAACCTACTGACTAATGTGGGATGGCATGTGACTATGTTACTACATGGCAAGCATTGACTTCAGTTTAAAAAAAAGTCCAGCAGCATAGTTATGCGATTTACAGTGTGAAAAAATTATTATTTGTGAAAAAAGGCACAAAATGGATAACCTGAGTGATATATATGTGTGTTTTTTCTTTATTGTCTTGTTTATTCACACGGTTTGTGTAAATACGCAAAAAAAGCCTTGATTAAGGTAGGTAGGTAGGTACCCAGTATTGTATATGTATCACCTTTAGTCTTTCGATTTAGTAAAGTCGCCAAGCTGTACTTTACTTTTTGATTTGGCGACGCAACATTTGGATAGTTAGTGGAAATCATAATAACTCTGTAAATGTCTCCGTGGTGACACAAGCACTATAGACAGGATATTGAATGGATCTTTGCCTTATTCAAACACATATTTATGTTTATACTTTATCAAATATTAGACTACGTCATACCCAATTCTCTGGAATAAGATTTCGTACTGTAGTGTTATTTTACACGGCATTTATTCTTGCTGTTTATTCGAAGTCTAGACTGCGAAGTTATTTCCGTATACCGATTATTATTTTGCCCTATGCTCGGTTTCTCACTCCTTACATCCCCACTGTAACTATAGGGCACAAATCTCTGGAGTTACAGTAGAGGTAGTGTTGTTTCGACTGGGCGGAGATGCCAAACTTTCCCTCTTTTGATGGTTTACTAACGGCTAGTAAACTTGGCGAGGTTTACAGGTGGGTCGCCCGGGAATCGGACTCAGACCCGGGCCATAAGCGAAGTTGACTAGCATTCAACCAGTGAATCGCCGATATTACTAAGTTATAAAAAGCCAATCTAACAACGAATAACATAATAAAGTGGTGGAGTCGAATGGATTTTGCATTTAATTGAATTTTAATTTTGATTATAGCTTGATTCCACACTGTATTTTTGATACAGGTATGGAATTTTCAGCATGTGGTATCAGTAATCTAAATTTTGCAGGCCGACCATTGATATCAGGTGTGCATCGACAGGGAATCGAACCCCGGACCATGTGCGCATGGTCGGTGAGAGTCCTAACCACTGTGCCACCGACGCACAGAAATATTTATTGAGTTATCAATATAATTTTCAAATCAAAGAAAATAATTAACTAATTATTTATTATTGAATCAATTTAACGAATAATTTTCTCAGTTAGCCTTTATGATTTTTACATAGTTAGAGACAGAGAGAAAGAGAGAGGCATTTGATTTAGTGGAAGTAATGGAGATCAAATGGTCAGTGTATCAATAGTTACAGTTGTTCCTCAGTTGTTAATTTCAATTAGAAAACCAGAAAAATGTCTAGACTTATTTGCTAAAATGTTCAGTGTTTTCGTTAAACTCTAATAATTAATTGATACTGGTTTTACAAGAGAAGTGGCAGACATGGCCCAGGTGGCCTAGTTGAATAACGATTTGGTGTTTAAAACGATATGTTCCATGTTCGAGTCTCATCGGGGTACCACGCCACTCACTGGTAATTGCAGGCATGTGCAGATGACGAGTCCAAAAAAGAGCGAAATGTTAATCTTCGATTCCATTGCCAGTTACCATCCACTAAATTAAATGTTTTAACTGCTTGTTTATGAGAAAAAAACAACTAGTGGTTTCTCTAATTTAAGGTAACTGGTATTTGTATTATGAGTATGTGTGGCATTTTCACTACCGGATGCAACATCGCAGGTAAGATGGAATCCTTTAGAATATTCCGAAGACGTTGTAACCGTCTGCATTCATGTATACTATAAAAATCTACAAAGTAGTATATCATAGGTGATCTAAAGTTGATGGAATGTCAAATGGTGATCTAAACACTATTATCAGACCGATTAAGAGAAGGTCAGCTGCATACATACATCTTTCTAATCCATCTCCATTTTTTGCGTCAATGTGTTTGTAATCTCGTAAACGTGTGGAGGCTTATGTTTTAAGTATTATACTCAGGTGACTTATTTGCGACATAATCAAAAAGTGATATCTGAATAGTATTGTAGACTTCTGGAATTAAATGAAATCAGAAATACAACGTCTCAAGTGTTCATTCAGTTTCAACCAGTGTTAATAAATCTTGACTACAAAACAGTGTAGCATTTTTGAGGCAGTTATATACACGCATGTACTAGAAACATAAATGTGTAACCGGGAGAAAATCTGTCATGTTACAGTAGATATATTTAGACATTTAATTCATGTACACACTAAAATTGTTTTAATTTCCACTCAATAGAATCCAGTTTGCATATGTCTTCCTCATAGAGAGAAGCTCATCATCTCGAGTTATTTTCTTCCGGTTAATTTCAGAGGTGTGTGTAATAGATATCCTACCCTTGAACATGTGTGTGTGTGTGTTGTCTGGGTGAGGATTGTGCTGCTGCTAAACACTAACAAAATCTTATCAATGATGTGTATTTAGAAGTGATATTTGAAAAATCTGTAAAACAGAAGTTTAATTAATTATTTATTTATATCAAATAATTATTCACTGTTATTATTATTGCTATTATTATTATTATAGGTCAACCATTTATCCTCCTTGAGTTAGCCGTACACGGAAATTTACGAGATTTTCTCAGAAATCTTCGACCGCCTGGCATTGATCTCAGTGATCATCAGATCTTCATTGATCAAATAACAAGTCCACGTTATGTCAATATGCATAAATTAGAGGATTTGGAAAAGTTATTGCCTGGATTCTCTGTGAAAGAGCAGATAGGAAATCTGTTAACATTTGCATTAAACATAGCTGATGCATTAATGTATTTTGAATCCTTGTCAGTAAGTGTTTGTTTAGTAATGATTATAATAATTATTATTGTTATATAATATATATTTTTAAATGAGCTATTATCGTCATCATGACATGAGTAGTAAGTACAGTGTTTTATATTCCACTGATATACAACCATCATTACACAACGTATTCAAGGAATACTATAGGGCATTTTCCTTACATTGGATACAATTATATACAGAAATTATCAACTTCACTTGTGGTGAGAGCTGGCTGTGTTAGTCAAAATTGGTGGACAGCAGTAATTTACGTCAATGTTTATGTCCCCAATGTTGGTTGTGAGAAAAATGAGAACAAAGGCTTTGCGTAGGCGGATACAGTTAACATACATATAGATGATCTGACATTCGAGAAACAGTCACAAAGAGATGCAAGGTTAACTTTCTGTCAGAAACAACCACCAATCAGAAGAGTGTGTTTTTCTGCTAACAATAATCTATAATAATCTACATGAAAATCTATAAATATGTGTTGATTTCCTTAATTAAAGGATCTGTTTCCTGACCCTTGTCTTTTGTTGTTACACACTGATGACTATGTTACCTTTTGATCATCGATGGTATGCGATTTCATCACCGTTAGCTCAGTTATTAGCATGACTTTTAGGTTTTGATTTTTATGACACAATATTTCGAGCTGAATTAATTTGAAGTATTCAGGTGTTGGTTTGTAGGGATTTGATTGGTTTCAGGATTTCATCATGAGCTGACATTAGTTAGAGAGCCATTGGAAAACTTGGGAGTACTGGACAGTCGTTTCGTCCTAGTTCAGGACTCTTCAGCAGTGGTGGGTGCGTACTGGATCGGGTCCCAGTGGCTTAATAGTATACGAGCTCGCCTTGTAACCGGAAGGTCCTGGGTTCGAATCTCGGTGGGTGCGTATCGCTGAAGAGTCCCGAACTAGGACGAAACAGTTGTTCAGTACTCCCAGGTTTTCCAATGGTTCTCTAACTAATGTCAGCTCATGATGAAATCCTAATTTGAAGTTAGTTGCTTAGTTAGTTTGCTGCATCAAAAATGAGCAAAACCACAGTGATTAAATACTTTTGACCACAGTAATCATCATGGATGGTTTATGTGTTTATGGAAATTAAATGAGTGTTTTCAGTGCTAACATGAAAAAAGGAATCTTGGTGTACATATTCAATTGTTGTTGGGATCTGCCAAAAATTTTTAAATTGGTTCAAAGGAGATACATTATATTGATGCTTTTACTGTTGTTTATGATATCTTATGAGATTAGTCACTATATTTACACAATCCTTCATGTATTTGACTATACTTAGAAACAAGAGTGTCTGGTACACATGCTATTCCATTGTGTTTCACTTAGTTAACCGAATTCAGGTTATGAAATAAACATCTTCTTACGAAATAACTAACATGTTTCAAGGTCTTAAAGGCTAATTCGATAAAATTTTAACTTGAACTAATAAACTAGTTCCAATTAAAGTGTGTGTGATCACCAAAACACTTATCAGATCAGCTGTATTATTCGACTTCACATCCTATTTTATTCACATACGTGGATTTACGGAGCAAGCCACAATTGAATAAATTCATGTAAATATAAACTATTGATAATTAGAGTATAACCTCCAATAATATAGCTACGATTCAGAGTTTATTTATTACATCTGTGAGAAGATTATGGTTAATTACTAGAGAGGACTTCTTGAAAATCAGACAGTTATTGAATAGCTGTTTCGTTGTAACTTGAGGTTCTTCAACAGCGTACACATGTAACTTTCAGCTTACAAAGCATATTCATGACTGACTTCGGGATGATGAAATTCCGGAAGTCTTATTAAGAAGTCACTGTCGGGGCCCACAAATTTCTACTATGAGAACAGATACTCAATGATGACATTCAGTGGTACTAGCAGTATGTAGTGAATCGTTAAGAGTCTTAAAATTAGGAGCCTTTGCGGTTCGGTCCAGTAGCCAACGATAAACTCGCTCTTATGAAAATAGGACTTGGACACTGTGGTAGAGTAGAATTCAATCATGGCGAAAATTTATTTTGAAAAAGTCTCACAGTGTTATACCCCGATCGATAGCTGCTACCTTGACGTGGTAGTCGTGCTTGCACATCTCAATGATCCAACAAGCTACACTGGTCCTACCATGCCAGGAAGGTTGTTAGGATAGCGATTAGACTAAAAGCAGTTACCGGCATCGTGTAAGAATTTTTCTTACACTATGCTTTGGGGTCTGAGGGTTAAGTCGTACTGCTCGGGAGCAGGGGTGTAACAGCAGTGAGGTGTTTCCCTCAGATGATCAGCATGTCATCTATGCTGTCTTTCCACTTCGAAGAGAGGGGTTTACAAAAGGTCGACCCCAAAAATTGTATATCCCGACTTACTCTACGGTGGTCCGTAACCGGCGGTAAGTTTACTAATACGGAACCCATCTTAGAGGCCAATTCATACAGGCCATGTGTGACCGGCCTCAAGCAGTTGTCCCCTGGGCTCTGCAGTCACGCAACACTCTTTCTGTTTCAGTTACCCGAAGAATCAATCAACTTCCACGGTGTGGGCAACCGGGAAGTAACAACCGCCCACACATTTCCAAAAGCACGCGAAGCCTTCCTGAGCATCATTCTCCAGACACAGTGTTATACAGTAACATTTACTGCTATTACTGTATAATACTGAGACTTTATCAAAATAAATTTCCTCCCTAATGGGTAAACTCTCCTCTTTAATCTAAACATCCTGGGTTCACAGTCCCTGTGATAAAGTCACTGGTTCATACTACCGAAGAATATCTAAACAGGTCAAAGTAGAGAGAATTTACTGTTTTCAAATTAATTATTGTTCAAAGACGTTGAAAGCCATCAGCTAGTTAGCATATCAGTCGAATCAGTTGTGCATTTCTTCCTACTGTGATGTTTCGCAAAAAATTGTCACTCTTAATGTTCATGTTAATTTGCTTGTATTCTGTTGTTTGTATATATATATAAGGGAATGCGTTATTATCTCTTCCTTTTTACCTTTGAAGCTTATCCACAGAGATGTTGCAGCGCGTAATGTCGTTATTACAGAGGGTTATGTTGCCAAACTCTGTGATTTCGGGTATACATCTACACTGGATGAATGTAATTATGGTTACTTACAGATGGATAAGGTAAATTTGCTCGAGTATTATTATTATTATTTCACACAAAATGTTTGCATATGAAAGCGAAATGCATTTTTTTGTTGTTTTGTTTTTTGTAGTTGTGAGAATTAGTCTGAAAAGCTATTTCATGTTAAGTAGTATAATTAAATAATTAATGTGTAATCATACCTGCAAAATTAAACTTCGTGTAAAAATAATGTTGGAATTTTTGAATGCTTTAACTAATCGTCAATTTCTTGAAAATAGATGTAGTAATAAAATGTTTATTCCTTTAGAAGATTTGTTATTAAGCATAGTTTATGGCGTCTTTTAACGCCGTAAGCCATTATTCAGTAGAACCTTTATTAGTGTAATTAGTTTGAGAATTCCCTAAACTTTTGGTGTCTGTTCATCCTGTTTAATATATCTTGTGACTTCAGTTCTACCAGTGTTTGTTCAGTAGCATTTCAGACATCAGAGGGGACAAAAAGCAAATATACAATACATAGCTGTGAATGAATGAATATTATTTCAGACGAGTCTCTACAATGTCGCCTTTGATATGATATATATATATATATATATATAGATATATATATATATATACATATACATATATCAGTCGACTAATAAAATTCATCCAATACCTCGACCAAGCATAACTAATTTGGATATGCCTATACCAGCCTGCTGCTCAAGATGAAGCTGAACAGAATTGAAATAGATGAAAATAATATGACTTTCTTAACTGAACTGATCAGCCGATGAGTCTGTATAGTTAATTGGTGGGTAGTGACTCTAGCAGTGGGATCCAGGATGCTCAGTTCGTCCTGTTTGGGACTCGTCAGCTGGATGTACCTGCATTCCACAGAGAGCGATGATGTTCCCACTGAGGCTCGAACCCAGTGCCCATAGTTTCAAACACCAAAGCGCTATCCACTAGACCACTTGGGCCATGAGAGCTGGCCATCTCTTGTGCAACGGGTCTTATTAATTATTTAATTGAATTTTAGATTTTCCTGTCGATTGATTGGACCGAAGTGCTAGGTCTCAGGTTGACATGTAAGCTTCTTGTGCGCAGATGCTTCGACGATATCTGGTCATGTATAGTGTTTAGGTGACATAGGGAATCTCGTTGGCGTGTGCATTATTGATTGATGGGGAAGGGTCTCCAGATATATCTAGACCAGTCAAGGGTATTACGTTGTATCGCCGGCTTACTAACAAGCTCGATACCATTCATAATGTTAGTTGGATCACACATTTTTGATTTTTTCAGGAAATTCCTTACGAATTTTACCTCATTTGAACAGTCTGCAAACATCTTATTGGACTGTAATAATAACAACTGAATTGTTTCACTGCTACATCAATAATTCGTTCTCAATACATTAGTATTGAGTTAGTTTGGGTATTAAGATTCATTGGAACAGACAGTGTGATACAATAAGTGTTAGAAAGCACTAAAGATAATTAGAGAAGAATACAAAGAGAGGAATACTTAAAGCAACAAGGCATTATGATAGATATAATGTTTTGAATTCATGCAAAGGTTATTGGAGTGTCGGTGCTCTTCATATCAGCTTTAGGGCCTTTTCACATTATTGCATACAAGCATTGGTTAAATCTGTCTCTTTCGCTAATTTCGTTCAAAACACATTGTACTTGATGGAGATGAGAAAAAACCTGATGTGATAGGACAAACTGCCGGTTTTATTCTGTTATGCGTCTAAGTTATCACACTAAAATGTGTGTATCTCCAGTTAACACATTTCAAACACTGTTTTCCTATCTGAAACTAACCAGTATTCTGATAGTTGTTACTTTTTATATTTACTCATGTTCCACTCATGTTGGCAATACTATCATTTGACGTCCAGACTGTTATAGACGACAGCCTTTGCAAGGAGGAGAAATTCAAGGCTTAGGTATGAATAAAACTAGTAAAATATATCTCAAAGTTGGAGTATTTCATCATAAGGTGACATCAGTTAGAGAACCAATGGAAAACCTGCAGACTGTACTGGACAGCTGTTTCGTCCTAGTGTTTGAGATTCTTCAGTGTCATGCACCCACCGGGGTTTGAGAATCCAGCGTACTGATAAAGACTCCCAAACCAGGATGAAACGGCTGTCCAATGCTCCCTGCAGGCTTTCCATTGGTTCGCTAACTGATATCACCTCATGATGAAATACTCCAACCAATACTTGAAGATATATCTCAAAGTCTTAAGTTGTGACCTAACTTTGGTGGTTGATTCTTAGTTCATCTTATTGTCTATAAGTGTTCTCAATAATTACAAGTTTAGAGTTGATGTTGTTATATTCACTAATATCAACGTCATCATTACATTATACTTTCCATCTTTTTATGTATTGAAGAAAAAAGAGGAAAGACATAAACTAAACGTCATTAATTAAGTAGAGATATAGAATGTGTGAGAATTGTCTCATTATTTCGTATACACGTAACCCAACCCAACTCTGCTTTAGATGTAAAAAAAGAAATGAGCATTGCTTTTTATTTAAAATGTCACACTTGATGACCACACTGGATGAATTAGTTTGTATAATATAATTATGTGTGTACATTATTATGGGATATCGATTTACTTTTAATATTAAGGTATAATACATATCACATACTAATAATGATTATCATTATCATTGTATACATAAATATGTACAGATGACGATGTGTACCTCAATGGTCCTTTAATCTTCTTTTCTTACTAACGATTCTCACCATGGACTGTTGCTATAGTCGAAAAAGAATCATTTTACCTTCTTATAGGTAAAACTCACCTCAGTTACCTTCTTTTTCTTTAAAAAAAACATATACCTTTTTTTTGTTTAGGGTTCAAGAACGAAGTTGTGTAGGCATGTCTAGCTAGGTGTGTATGTGTGTGTGTGTGTGTGTGAAACAGCTATCATGTGCTTTTTATAGACGATGTGTATGATAACTAATGAAATCTTTTATTTTTTGAAGAGAGAAACAGTGAGAAGCGAGTAATTGGCGGTGGTGGTTCAGTGGTAGACAGTGTACGTCAGCCACGCACATGATGTCGGTTTGATTCGCAGCCTACGCATTCTCTAGCCTCACCACCACCTAGTTACTTTAATTACCGGCAGGTAGTAAGCCTAGAAAAGAGGAGAGGTTAAACTTAATGAGACTAGCCATCCCACCTCGTAAAGAAAAATCACACCGCCACTATTGAGACTTCAGAGCTTAATCCTTGAAGTCCCCCGCTACGTTTCATGTAAGAGAGTGAATTTCACCATTCAAATAAGATCATTCATATCAATTTTCTAATTAATTTGCAGATATTATGAAAGTAAATAATTGTTTTAATGATTAGAGTACCTTCTTGAATTAAGAAAAAATTATTCATTGTAAAGTGTCTGTGTGTAATTCTGAATTCTGCTATCTATGGATCCTGCAGCCAGCTGTCTCAGCCTTACAAACGCGTTGTTATGCTATTATTTCTAGGCTACTTAACTACTCTCTTTAATTTGCCATTTGTCTGTATTTCATTATTTTTGAACGATACAAGAAGAGTTGAGCACAGGATCACGACGCGTATACCGATTTGTTTTCATGATTTCCATTATCAACAGAACTATCTGACGTCAAATAGTGTTACATTTAATCTTCGTATTCGGTGAACTCACTGCGCACAAATAAGATAGGCTAGGCTTAATAGGTTAATAATTTCAAAATCCTATCCTGATTAATATATAATACATGGTGTTAACTGTGACCGTTCTAAGAAACATTCACTTCCTGTGAAATTCATCAGTCTTAGACTAGAGAGGGCTTTTTAGTGAACACGAATGATTCTGTCATGAAGAATTTTCCCTACATCAGAAGTATTTGATTAATTGGTTATTATGTGATTTCATCATGAGCTGACATTAGTTAGAGAACCATTGGAACCATCGCGCTATGTCGTGAATAGGCAGAATTTAGAATTCATGGATCGGGTCGCAGTGGCTTAATGGTCTACGAGCTCGCCTTGTAACCAGAAAGTGCTGGGTTTGAACCGTGGGGTGGTTGCGTACTATTGAAGAGTCCGCAGCTAGGACGAAACGCCTGTCCAGTACTTCCTGCAGGTTTTCCAATGGTTCTCTAACTAATGTCAGCTCATGATGAAATCCTGTAACTAATCAATCAAATCCTTGCAAACCACCAACACTTCAATATTTTTGATTGATTGTTAGCTAACACCGCATTGATGCAATTGTTCACTAGCAAGGAAATTTGTTGATATGGGATTACTTCAACTGGAAGACACTCAGATTAGACTCAGGATAAGGATAATAAGGTTGTATGTAAAAAGGATTGTAATAAAACAGGCTGCAGAATATGATAACTGTTTTAATCATTCCAATTTCTGACATTACCTGTTAGTTTTGTAAAAACAACAGACGAAACTGTAAGTGGTTCTTAGAAAAAGTTGGAAAAAAATCGATTTGGGTTATTTCAACAGGGTTACTGGCTCGATCTTTACTGGAGAGATATTTTAGTCAGCCTAAATCACATACACAGGTCAAATTCTCTGCCATAAGGTTCCCTTAATCAATGAAGTTTGTGATCAGGAGATTTATGTAGTTTAAGTTAGAATTTTATAGGTGTGTCTACTTTGGTTGACGCATTTTTTCATATTAACAGGGGAAAATATTAATTTGATAGGTTATTCATGTGAGACCTATTGGAATTCATTAGTACTTTGGTGGGTTCAATGATAGAATAATTGCTCTCCAGCCGCGCTGAGGTTCCGAGTCCGACTCCCAGCTAGCTAGTGCCCTCACTTAGTTTACTATCTACGAATGTCCCACTCAGATCGCAAAGGAAATAGAATTCTTCAATCCACAAATTTGATGGTTTTACGAGAAATTCATTCAGAATTATTCATTGACGTATTCAAATAATAGTAGTTTAATGCGATTAAGTAATGCCTGAATTCAGCACAGTTTTCATCAATGTAATAACGGTATGAAAGAGAATTAAGATAGATAAAAGCGACT